GACACTTGGATGTTTATGTTTTGCCAAAGATCTATCTGTACATGACAAATTGATGCCAAGATCAAGAATGGTTGTGCATATGGGATATTCAGAAGTACAGAAGGGGTATATACTGCTAGATTTGAGCAGCAAATACTTTTTCACAAGTAGAGATGTGTTGTTTAGATAAGAAATATTCCCATTTTCTCAAAGTAAAAAACATACACATCAACCTATATTTACAGATCCTTTACAGGATACAAGTGTTTTGTTTACTCACTTAGATCTTGCTTCACTACTCCTTGTGGTCCATCATCAGATGATGTTTTACAGCAGTGTGATGATCCACAACTTGAGGTTCCACCTATGACTGCAACTGATGGGGTTGACAGTGCAGAAAGTAGTGATTGTGTGCCTGTTGCTGTTAATGACACAAGTGCACCTGAGGTGGTTCCAAGTGCTACTGAGACTGATGTTGTACCAACCAGCAGGAGATGTACTAGGATCAGACAAGCTCCACTGTGGCTAAAAGAGTTTGTATCTTTGCAAGGTCACAAGGAAGTGAAATATCCTCTATGTAATTATTTGAGCTATTCTCATTTGTCACCTAGCTATCAGTGCTATATTGCTGCTACTACACCATGCAAGGAACCTACCAGTTATTCAGAAGCTATCAAGGATCAAAGATGGGTTGCTGCTATGAAAGATAAAATTCAAGCATTGGACAGTAACAATACTTGGGAGATCACTGACTTACCACCTGGAAAAGAACATATTGGGTGTAAGTGGATATACAAAGTCAAGTATAAATCTACTGGTGAAATTGAGAGGTTCAAAGCAAGAGTAGTTGCAAAAGGTTACAGTCAACAAGAAGGGTTAGACTATAATGAGAGTTTCTCACCTGTGGTTAAAATGGTGACAGTGAGGACCATTGTGTCTTTGGTTGCTTCTAGACATTGACATATTCATCAAATGGATGTGTTTAATGCATTTTTACAAGGAGACTTGGAGGATGAAATCTATATGCAGCTACCTCCAGGTTTTGTCAGTCAAGGGGAGAAAGTATGTAGACTGACAAAGTCTCTATATGGACTCAAACAGGCTCCAAGGCAGTGAAATCATAAACTGACTGAGTCTCTTCTTAAATTGAGTTTCAAACAAGGTCAATATGATAATTATTTGTTCATTAACAAGGCAGAAGAGGAAATCATTATAGTATTGGTTTATGTGGATGATATGTTAGTAACTAGAAGCAGTTTGAAGTTGATAGAAGAAACTAAAAAGGCACTGCAACTAGCATTCAATATGAAGGATTTAGGGGAGCTAAAATATTTCTTAGGCATTGAGTTTGTCAGATCAGCTGAGGGTATACTAATGCATCAAAGGAAGTACATTCTTGAGCTTATTTCTGAGGTTGGCATGATAGCAGCCATATCTGCAGGAACCCCTATTGACATCAATGTTAAGTTAACTTCTATGATGATCACCTAAGCAAACAGCCAGAAGAGTTGGAGGATCCTCTGGTGGATCAGACTATGTATCAAAAGCTTATAGGCAAACTCTTGTACTTGAATATGACCAGACCAGACATATCATTCAACACTCAAACTCTAAGCCAATTTCTACAACAACCAAAGAAGTCTCACATGGATGCAACACTGAGGGTGATTAAGTATCTAAAGAGACAACCAGGGCAAGGTTTATTGTTATCAAGTGACTCAAATAAGCTAGTCTCTGCATATTGTGGTGCTGATTGGGTCTGATGCTCAATCACTAGGAAATATGTTACAGGATACATGGTCAAGATTGGTAAATCACTAGTGTCTTGGAAGGCTAAGAAACAAACGACAGCTTCAAGAAGTTCTGCTGAAGCAGAGTATAAAAGTTTAGCTTCCACAGTCTCTGAATTGGTATGGCTACTTGACATGCTTAAAGAAGTAGGTGTTGAGGTTCAACTGCCAAGTCAGATATATAGTGATAGTAAGGTTGCAATACAAATTGCAGCAAATTCTTTATATCATGAAAGAACAAAGCACATTGAAATTGACTGTCACTTCATAAGAGAGAAATTACAAAAGGGATTGATCAAGGTGGATTACATTCCAACTAAGGAGCAGCCTGTTGATATCTTAACCAAAGGATTGACCAGATTACAACATGATCATCTTCTATCCAAGCTTGGAGTGTTGAACATATTTTCCCCTCCAAGTTTGAAGGGGAGTAATGTGATGTGAAGATGAGCTACTATCAGTTAGAAGTTAGTTAATGTTAGTTAGGTTGTTAAAAGTGAAAGGGTAGATCAGTCATTTTATAATAATTAGTTGTAACTACCTAGCATAGAGTTAGTTAGTAAGATTAGTTACAAGTCACAGCAAGAGAGTTATAAATACTGTGACTCACTCAATGTAATCTTCTTCTTAAAAAAATACAAAATATCTGAGATGCTCATTGAGCTCTCATTGTTGCTCTAATTGAGCTCTTTCGTTTTACCTTCAAGTTTCGTGCAATAACTCTACATATAGACAATTGTTGATCAATATCTGAAAGAATAAAAGACTAGATTCTATCAAGGCTCTAATCTATAGATGTCTTCTTATCTTTACTTCTTGAGAGATATGGAGAGCAAGGTGTGCTCGTAAATATGGGAAAAAATAATTTCTTTGGGTAGAATCATGACTTTAATAGCATAGATGAGTCAAACTTTTAACGGATAACATCGATGACCCTTTTCTCAAAGTTCGATGACATAGTTGAGCCTTTTCCCTTTAATAAAATATGATATGATGATAATTGGTGAAAATAAAAACAATTACGCATCCCAAACTTTTTTCAATCAACAAATATCACTATCAACAATGAAAAACAAGCTTTTAACCCACAAAACATTTTTAATTTGCAACCCTAATCGAAGAAGTTTTCAAATATAAAATAGAACAATACTTTTCATAAAAAAAACCAAATACTGTCTGTATCTAGGAGTAGATTTTAAAAGGAAATCTACATAGTCATGTGGCTATCAATAAAGAAATCAGGTTAATTTACACCCCAATTCCTCCATACAACCAAGCATTCAAAATCTTAAACCTTGATCTTTCAACCCTAGTGTTCAAAAACTGTCTCTTAACCAAAACTTGTAGCACATTGCTGAGATCATAATTGTTCTTACAAAGTACCCAAATCAAACAATTCAAAAACTTCACACTTGGGTTGCATAGTGAAAAACATCTCATAAGATTTCTTCTTGTACCTGAATACGAATGTGAAGAAGAGTGTAGTTTCATATGAAGATTCAAATCAAGTTTCAAGTAATTGCACAAATTAAAGATCATTTTACGATTTTGTAGCAAAACACTGATTATAATTAGGGGTAAACAACAAAAATTTCACTATTCTAGTGAGTTTTCGATATTACCAATCAGGTCATATTTCACACTTCATATTAGCTAGTGATGGCGATGGGGTGCGGGGCGGGTTAAGCTTAACCCGTAAATTTCTAATTTGCCCCGTTCCACGTAACATTTTTTTTTTCATTTTCAACTCGCCCCATTGTCATCCCTAATATTAGTGTTGTTAATGGTTATGGTTAAAAAATCAAACCGCAATTCGAATCAAATCGATTTAAAAAATAGATATTTGGTGTGGTTTGGTGTGGTTAGGTTTTAAATTTTGAAAACCGATACAATTTAGCTTGATTTTGATTTTACTAAAAAAAAGCGCCAAAATAACCAAACCAAATAATTGAGAAATTATATATATAAATCTTATAACTATTTATATATTACTCATAAGTAAAATATAAATATTTTGTTAAATTTTAATTAACTTAAGTCTTTAACTTTATTATTTTTTAAGTCTAATAATTAAATTTTAGCCTAATTATTAAAATCCTAAATCCAAGTCCATCAAAATCCATAACTTTAGCATTTACCTACGCTATCCACATCAGATAATCACTTTCTCTAAATTGAATTACTTTGTTTGTATAATTATAACTCTAGTATTGTTTTATTAAATCCACAATAGCTTTCCGATGGATTTTTCATGTATTAGGTGTCTATGTCTATCAAGATGCGTATGCTCTCAACAAATTTATTACTTTCAAATAAAAAAAAATAAAAAAAGAAAAACAAACTGAACCAAATCGATAGTTAATTTTTTCGTTTGATTGATTTGATTTTAAAAATTTAAAAACCAATTAAAATTTTAATTTATTTAATTTTAATTTTAATTAATAATCGATCCAAATCAAACCTTGACCAAGAAAAAAAGTTTGAAAAGAAGCCTATGTTTTTGCGTATCTTTAGAAAAACGGCACAAAAGTTGAATAAAATCCCCGAAAACGAAAATGAGTCATGACATATAATTATTGGAAATCGTGAAGAAATGTACATAAATTTTCAGGCGCTGACTTTGTCTTTATCCCGTGTTTAGCAAAATAAATATTCAAATAAAAATCAAAGTCAAAGATTACGTATCAACCTTTGAACGTTATAATTGTTTATGTTTGTCTATTATTTTAAAAATAAATTTTTATTTGTAATTGTTATTATTTTAAATATATCAATTTTTTTTTCTTGATATACCTTGATTTTAATTACTTATTCTTTTGAACCTAATACTAAATCAATTATGGAAATAGTATGATAAAATAATCACATAAATTATTGTCTTAATGAATATATCAAGTTCAAATATGACAAGTAAAAAGAACAGAAAGAAAGAAAGAGAGATAGAGTATTACTATCTTTTACGACTTGTTAATTGTAAATTATTTGTTGCTTTGAATATTCTTTCACCGTGTGCTTTTGAATATCTGACTTTGTAAGCAATTAATAATGCATACACGATCCCATTGTCCAATATAAATAGACTAGAAATTGTAGATAAATTCAAGTATCATTCTCATCGTCACCCTCTTTTATAATCCTTTTTTATAGTTAAGATTTTTTTGAATAATCTAAATTATATATATACCAACAAATTCTTTTGTAGAAGTTGTTTAATCACAAGCAAACATATACATGGAAGAAGTTAATTATAACAAAACAATTGTGATAGGTGCACAATTTTGTTCTCCTCAACCTCTTCAACTATTCATAAAGAAGAAAGTTTACTTCTTGGGTGGTCATGGATATGAAGTTAAAGATGATATTGGTAATATCGTCTTCACTATTGAAAATGTTTTGGGGTTTTTTCGTAGCAAGTTGATCGTCTTTGATGCTGCTAATGTACCAATTCTTACCCTAAAAAGCAAGGTAATATAATTAAGTTTTTTTTTCTTATATGTTCCTCTTTTATAAAACATCACTAGTGTTGTAAAAATGAAAGTACCGAACAAGTTTAGCCGGTTATGAATTTGGCCAGCGTAATATCGCAAACTAAAAAGAAAGGTAGTGTTGTAAAATAAAACTTGGAGGGATCTCTTCAAAAGAAAGTTCGAGTCACCAAGGAAGAAGAAAGGGTGAGAGCTCCTAGCTATGGAGGGGTAACAAACAGTGTCGTAGTTTACCATGTTATCCATTTTATTAGATGTTTTTTTGGAAATTAATTAAACGTGTATTTTATTTATACTTGAAAATAATTACTATATTTGTCTTGGTTTTTTGAAATGATACTTATATTTTATTTTTGCTAAACCGTTACTTATTTTAAAACGGAGGATACTTATTTTAAGACGGAGGAGCATGTCTGGAGAAGTCGTTATGCTTTTATTTCTAAATAAAACTCATCTCAAATTATAGAGTACTTGTCTATGAAGTTAAGGTGTTGATGAAATACATTTGGTGCAGCATTTTACGTGGCATAGTAGATGGCAAACTTTCAAGGGAGATAGCACAGATGAAAAGGACCTCATATTTAGTGCCAAGAATTCTTCAATGTTTCAATTCACCAGAAAATTGGACATTTTCTTAGCTAATAATATATCAGAACAAGTTTCTGATTTTAGAATGAAGCCTAGCTACATGGAGTCAAATTGTGATATTTTTGCTGGGCAATCATCCACTCTAATTGCTCAGGTAAAAACCATTTCCTGTTTTTTTATATTTTTCTAGAAAGGTAAATAATTATATGATAATTAAACCAAACGTTATACTATATGTATATAGAGAGGGGGAAAAGTGACACGTTTAATGATAATTTTAGTTTATGTAATGATATGCTTTTATGGTTATAAAATATCATGACACGTTTAGGATAAAAAAAAAATTATATACTGCTCATATATATTTATCATATAATTTTTTTTGGTTCATAAATTTAGTATCCAATCAAACACTACCATATTATTAAATGAACTTGAATAAGTACTAGTTGTTTCGTTGTGACAATTTCTATAGTGTAACACATGCATATTGAAAGAATTTAATTTAATACGCAGTGGATTTTATTGGAGTTGAAGGGAATGATTAATTATATCTATGCTTCTCGGACGCTATTTTTTCCTCATGATCACTTGTTCTTTGTATTTCATATACCCAAAACTTTGATTTTATTTATATAATTATTATTATTTCCAGTTTTGGATTTTTGGATTTTTGGAATTGTAGATGGTTAAGAAGTATACAGCAGGAAGTGTATTCCTAGGAAGAGACAAATTCATGGTGAAAGTGAATTCAAATGTGGATCATGCCTTCATAGTTTCACTTATAGTTATCCTTGAAGAGATATCCAGCTCAGGACAAAGTAGCACTCATTCCTCAACACAGTAATGGATATCTAGCAATTCTTTTCCTTTGTTAATTGTTTAACTTTTATTATTATTATTTTTATATTGATATGAATAGGTTATTCGACAATTTTTGTTGTTTGCTACTTGTCACAGTTGTAACCTTATTTATTACTTTAAGTTAAGCAATCACACGTGCTATACATATAGGGTGTTTTCGGTATGGAAGGCAAATGTTTTCTTGAATATATAAGTGTTTTCTTATTTATTTCTAGTGTTTGGTTAGTAAGGAAAATATATTGTTCCAAGAGCATTTAGGTATAGTCTAGACAAATACTATGGCCATTGACTCGCATCTAGACCCGGACCAGGTCACAACCCAACGCAGGACCCAACCCCCAATGTGACAACGACCTTGGACCTGACGTGAGAGCAAACTTGATTTAAGAACCGACCCCAACATTGACTCAAGACCCTGACCCAAGAGCAATCATGAGATCCCAACCTTGAGACCCAAGATCATACCCCAACCCTAACCCCCCGACCTTGACACCAACATGATTGATAAAATTGTAATTTAATATTTTTCGCAAATAATTATTGTTTAGTTATTACCCTAATATTTAAGATATTAAAATTATAATAGTTATTAAATATTTACTTATTTGTAAAAGTTAAGTAGTATTAATATTTAGTACTTTAAAATTGACAAAAGATATTTTTTTTAAAAATATTTTCTTATTTGAACTATATTAAAAATCTTAACATTTGAACTTCAAAAGAACAATTTTGTTAACTTGTAACAGTCTTTCTTTGTTTATAAAACTAGATAATATAATAAAGATTATCATGCGCATTGATCTTGGGATTTTTGTTATTCCCTCTATTTGTCACGCTCCGAGTCTACACCCTGAATGTGATCCGCATTCGAAAACTATTGTTGGTCTCCAAGCGAACCCTTGACTTGGCTGACTACTTAGCGGAAGACTTACTCAAGCACGACGCCGCTTAAAACAAAATTCAATCTTGTAAACTCAAGTACTCATTTCATAATATTTGGAAAATATTCAAAGCAATACTAATAATTTGCAAAACATCTCAAGGGAAAGTAAATATTGAGAGACTCCTCAACTCTATCTCCTCAACTCTATCTATCTATGAAGCCTCTATTATTCAAGGTGTATGTCGGGACAAGATCCACGACATCTCAAGACAACTAACTAGAAAATAAATGTGAAGTCCTCCAGAATGCAATGAGGCTCACCCAAACTATCTGAAATACAAAGTGATCTCAACGAAACACATGTTCATGATCCTGAACACCTGTATCTGGATCATACAAAGATGCAGATAGAATGACATCACTACATTGAATTTACGAGTATGTAATAAAGCTGAATGAATAAAAAATTGAACTGAAGAAGCTGAAGCAAGATACTTAACTGAATGTAAAGAGATAAAGGAACTAAATATTTAAAACTTTACAACTACTTACTCATCTCTGAAACTCAACATAATAAGTGATATAGTAAAAATACACTTTAACTCAATTAAGGAGATTCTCTAACTGACAACCATCACTATGAGCCACGTGATGATACAACGTCTCGCTCACGCTGTCAGAACTGTCATATACCGTGCCGGGGTATAGAACCTCTCAACTTAGTGGATCGACTAAGCAATAAGGATTCATCTAAAAACTATGACCCTTTACCCATGTTGGCAGACATGGTTTATGAGGATTTTGAGTTGTCTAAACTCATTTCCATTTTGGTGCTCAATACTACGTCCAATAATATACCCATGCTCAAATGTATAAAACATAATCTTTCTCTATTTAAGGTAATTGCTCAAAATAATCAAAAGAGGTAACAACTCTGAAATATCTCTGAACTCATAAACTCTTTTTAGAAACCAAAGTTTCTCTTTTCTCAATGTAAAAATGATACATTTGGGAATATTTAGTTCCCTTATACTCTTTGTCAATCATGTATAAAACTCTTCTCAAAACTCATTTTTGCTTTCTCACAAAATTAGTTTAAGACCATTGTTTGGTTAAAAAAGATTCTCAATAATAACTCAATAAATGCTCAATTACAACTCAACAATAGGGTTCATGCTGAAAAATAGACATGAACAATCAACTCAAGAATCTCAATGCAAGATATAACAACTCAATAATCAGGAAATAGAATTCAGAACTCAACAACGATATTATCTCAAGAATTAATAAAAACTAAGAATGTAACCCTAGATTATTCTTTACTGACAGAAAGTAGAATAGTAATGAATATCTAGATATTCTTTTCCTTTGTTAATTGTTTAATCTTTTTTGTAAAATTCATTTTTATATTGATATGAATAGGCTATTCGACATTTTTTGTTGTTTGCTTCTTGTCACGAATTGTAACCTTATTTATTACATTAAGTTAAATAATCACACATCCTATACATATAAGGTGTTTTTGGCACGAAGGAAAAATGTTTTTTCTAAAAAAATAAGTGGATTTCTTACTTATTTTCTAATATTCGTGTCACACCCCGATCCTACACCCCGGACGTAGCATGCACTCGATAACCATTTTTGGCCCCAAGTGAACCCTTGGTCTGGCTTACTTACTCAGCGGAAGACTTAAACATAAGAAATAATCTCAAACAAGAAACTTATGAATTAAACTTAGAATGTCTTTAAGGAAACATTCAAACTAGCCAAAATGGCTATTCAAGTATCATAGCAAAACATTTGAAATACAAGACTAAAGGACTATAACTACTCGTCTATGAAACCTCTAAAACAAAGAGATATGTCGGGACAAGACCCCCGATCATCCTAACAACTGAAATGCTAGAAAGCAATGTAAAAAGGAGTCCTCTGGAAAGCAAAGAGGCTCACTAATTGACTTTGAGTGCTCAACTAGATCAACGATGCGTTGGATGCTGATCTTGGTTACCTGTGTCTGCATCATTAAAAGATGCAAATCAAATGGCATTAGTACATTGAATGTACGAGTATGCGAGTGCAATACTAAACATAACATAAGCTTGAAAAGAATCTGAAAGTGGCACTTACCTTGGCTTTACTCAACTCATGAATAACTTAACTCAAAATAAAGCAACAATACACATGCAATATATAGAAAACTTTTAAAACAGTAGAAAGCAACTCAGTTTGTTAAAGAAATGCAATAACAACTCAATTTACTCATATAATAAAGTAATGTAATACTGTGGGAGTTTCTCTAACCGACACCACTGTGAGCCTAAGTGGTGATACATCGTCTTGCCCACGCTACCAGAACTGTCCTATACTTTGCCGTCATATAGAACGCCTTAACTAAGTGGATCCATTAGTCTATGCTAAAAAGCACTTAAGGAATCATCTAAAAAGTATGATCATTTACTACCCATGATGGCTACATGGTTTATGGAGACTTGAGTTATTATAAACTCACATCCCCATATCGGTGCTCAATACTACTCCTAAAATATACTCAGCTTAAATGGTTTTAAAAAAAAACTCCTTTCTTTGGTTTGAGATAATTACTCAAAACTTAGCTTAAAAGTTCTCTTGGAAATTGGTGTTTCCCTTCTTGCTCAAATGTGAAAATATTTTTAACTCTTGGGAATACTTAGTTCCTGTATAATGTTTGAAGAAATGAACTTCACCCTTACTCTTTCCTCAACTCAAAGCTTAAGTCTTACAACAAAGTTAAAACGTTTGTGAAAGACTTTTGAAATACTTTATGAACTTCTCTTGACTTAACTCTTAACCTCTTGACTTGACTCTTAAATTTCCTTGAATTGAATTATGGATTCAAGAATTGTGATTTGTGATAGGAAGGATCTCATGATGTTTAGGGGTGTTTTTAGATAGTTAAACATGAGAAACGATCAAGAAATTACTGTGTGGAAACTAGTCCACGACGCGGAGATGTAATTAAATATTTGGTTGCAAAAATAATTTTTGAGGTAGAACGGTCCGTGACCGCTCCGCGACGCAAGGAGAATTTTCCTATCTTGAGGAATAGGTCCGCGATGCGAACCTGGTACCCAGATTCACCCGGCTTTTTCCTTCTTCATTTTCCAGTTCCAATTCGCCTAAACTCGGTTCTTTTTTTCAAATTCTCTTTAGATTCAGATACCCAGTAAATGTACCTAAGAACCTAACTCAAAACAACTCCATAATTCGACGCAATAATCTCAAAAACTTCTCAATCTCATCCCAATTCAAGAACGAAAACAAATTCATGAACACATATCAAGAACATCAAACTTTCAACCCTTTTTGGATGAATTCACGCTGATATAAACATGCTTGGCACGTGGGTGAATGAACCCAATTTAATGAGAGTCTCACATACCTCATAGGGATCACCCCTTGACGAAATCCACAAGCGATTCTTGAAGAACTTGACGATTCTTGCTCCTTCTCCTCTTTTCTTCTCTTCTTTTCTCTTCTCTCAAAACCCTTACTTAGTTTTCAAAAGTGTGTTTAGACCCTAATTAAACTTCTTCAAACGAAATAAAATAATTTGGTAAGGAAAAGACCAAACTACCCTTCAAAAATCCGGATTACACTTTCCTTATTTGAACATCCCAACTTCAAATGGGCATATCTCACTCATACCAACTTGGAATCACGCAAACTCGGCAGCGTTGGAAAGATAATTCCAAGATCTTTCCTATGGTATCTGAAAGCACACATAAATCATCCTAAGCTAGAAGTAATGGTCGTTTGAAATTGACCAAAAACCCAAACTTAACATAACTTAACCAATTTCCAGATTTTTCATTCTTTCCTAAAATGACTATTTCCAATTCTAAATCTTTCTAGTTTTTTCAATTTGCGAGATGTTACAAATCGGTTAGTAAGGAAATATATTGTTCCAAGAGTATTTAGGTATAATATAGGCAAATACTATGACCATTGACTCGCACCTGAACCCGGACCAAGTTGCAACCCAACGAATGACCCGACCTCCGATTTGACACTGACCTAGGACCCGACATGAGAGACAAACTTGATCTAACAACCGACCCCAA